GTAAATTTATTTTTGTCATTGCGTTTGATCAGAGATTCATTAGTGTAGTCGTGAGGCTTGAATGCAGAAGTATAACAGAGATTGTGTTTACGCAACATGTTAACGTTTGTTTAATAAATCGTGTTTGACGGGGATTTATTTCGAACATGGATCGTCGCCAATTGGATCACTTGCTGAGAGTTTCTATCTCCTGGTTTCCATTTTTTTTTTAAGCAGATTAAAAATCAAACGTGTGAGATCCGGATTTTTGTCCTATTTTTTAATTCTTCTTAATTCTCCACTATTAATTGATGCTATCCTAGATTATACCGTTGTTATAACCACTTATACCACATTGTATAACGATTCTTTCTTTGTATCGCGATTTTCCAGAGCTCGTCAGATAAAAATCGTCGAACAAAGTACGTGTCGTGATATCGACACTCTGTAAGTAGGTGTGTGTCGATTAAATAAAATAAATCGGTCAAGCGTGAATTCTAGTTTATAAGTTACAATTATCGCTGAAACTCTGATATCTTGAATATTTTTTTCATGGCTATTTTAATTGCCCTAACACAACTTTTTCAATAACGCCTTATGTATGCTTCGCAGTCTTTAGTTATATTTTTTCCCCTCTTCGTATTATCGATTTTCTCAGATGTATTTTTAGAAATAAAATATTAAAATGCATAGACAATTTTCTGAAGTAACATAATAAACCAGTAAAAATAAAAGCGCGCATACATTAATTTTCTAATTATTACTTTTACACAATATGACATTCTAATTAATTATAATAATTTTATATGTATAACTAACATTATAATTTTGATTAATTTTTTTAATTTCTTGACTATATACTTCACATTATTTTACCATCGTGATTGCAAATCACCGATTTTTAACAGTTCTTAATTTTTAATGTAATTTATATTATTTTGCGATAATGTATTAATCCAATTGTACAAAAGAGCATTCAAAAATAGAATCAAAACATCGATTTACATTTATATTGTTATTAAATATACATAAGATTTTACATTTAGTATTGACTCTTATTTGACTTTATTGTAATTTTTTGATGATAAGTTCAATTGATTAGGGCGCTTTTAATACGATTTGAAATAATAATCTATTACATTTTTGATTTCGATAACACACTTGTTACTACTTTGACAAAAATTGGATAAATGCACGTGGCGAAGGGAAAAAAATCGCGATTGAGTCAAGTATCAGTTTGCCTAATACAAAAAAAAGAGAAAGAAAAGAAAATAGGAGCGGACAATCCGGGATGTGCCAGCCGATTGTTCAACTTAATCGCTGTCAATCTAATATCGTTGATAGAAACGGACACGATCGAGCTCGCATGGCCATCGACGAAGTCGGACCTTTGATTTGAAGAACTTTAATCTGACAAGGATCCACGCACGGTGTCCTCGAGCAGGACGTAATCTCGTTTACGACTCGAGCGATATTACGATTCGAGCGATGTCCGATTGTGCCCGTTGAAGGTAAACGTCGCTTTCAGCTGCATGCGGCTGTATGCCTCAATTAAAAGCGAGAGGGACCTTCTGGAATCCCGATTATATCCCATTATAGAATAGCGCCTATCGGAGAGACTCCTAAGGATTTGCTTTGTCGACACTATTGCAGTATCGGCGTATTGTGCGACAAGGAGTACAGTTATAATCATCTTTGAGAAATATGTCCCTTTTTTTCTTTTCAAAACCTCGAAGCTATTAGGACGTTATAGTTTAATAGTTTAATGGAATGACAAAATAGAAATTAATGCGAATGTTTGTTTTTGTAAAAAAAAAAAATTAAATTCTGTTAACAATTAGCTATAATTAATGGAATTTAATATATTCTATTTAATATATTCTATTTGTGTAAAAATGATAAAGCTAATTGAATTTATTAATATTATTAATATTATATTAAATGTTCAATTTTCTTGAATCTTTTTTTATTTCACATTTTCTATATATTCCTGAAATTATTGGAACTAAAAGATAAAAAATTACATTGCAATGAAATTGGCTGAAAATTTAGGAAAGAAATTTCGGAAATACCGTCCGCTCGAGGGGATGTCAACTCGATTTTTTATCAAATCTCGGCATTCGACGTAAGCACTGAGAATCCCAAACTGTAAGTTAAAAAGCGTTTACCGGCAATTCCGCGACGATACCATCGGCATTTTCGATTCCCTTCGAAAGTTAGCGAAAGGGACGCAATCTTTAGTCTTTCCTCCATCGAACAAATAGGATGAAAAGGACGGATTGGAATAGGATCGTAATGGATATTGCTGTAGTTTGCCGAATTTGCGAACGAGAGACTGCGAAGGATTGCTTTTTTATGCGGCAGTAAAGTGGCACTTCTACACAGACATTTCTGGAATATCTTAGGTGACCCTCGTCATGACTCGTCGACTGCTTGAGATTCGTCCCAAATTCTGACAGAAATTAACAGGCGCAAGTACCGATCTCTTACATCAGCAGTTGGCGAACTAATTATGTCAAAGAATTCTCGCGAGCTTGAAATTCAGCATCCTCCGCAAATATTTTTGCAACGCAACTAAATATGTTTCTCGTCGAAATGATCTCATTTCGAAGTGCTTCAGAGGAAGAAGAATTTATCTATATTGTATTGGGTCAGTTATTTACAGAAGCTTCTTAATTCTGGGTCATTTGCAACATTTATGATAACTAATTTAGCTTTCTTATTCGTCAAAGATGATAAGTCATTTTTTTAAAATATAATAGATTTTTTCTTCGTTATATGAATTAAAACAGAATAAATCTTATTTATCACCATGAAGGAAAAAATAGTTCGATAGAAACTTAATAGTTTAATTAAGTTTTCATTAATTTCAAAACTTAAATTTTTTTATTTTTACAATATTTGCAAATCTTCACTGTAAAGGATTAAATTCGATTGCTTTGTATTTAGATAATTATTAAATAATTAACATAAAATTAAGTTGCAAAATTAAATAAATTAATTAAATATTAATTATATTTCATTTTATTAAATTAATTTTAATTATATTAAATTAAATAAATTAAATAATTAAAGTTACAAACAATTAAATAAAAATAAATTATCTTTTGTGTATTAAAACTAAAAGTCAAATACATAAAAATAGAAAATCATAAATGTTTTAATCTCTCTCTAAGAAATTGTAAATGCAGCTATTTTCTTATTGTTGTCATAACGGAAAAGAGACTAATAAAAAAATCATATTTAAGGGTTAATGACCTCACAGAGATGTGCATTCGGATTTAATTGCGCGTCATAGCTTTGTATGATCCCAAAATACGGTCTCTAGAAGGAAGATTATCCCTCAGTTCGATGCACGAGCGGACGATACCCGATTTACGATCCACCGATAGGCTTCTTCTGTGCAAAGGAACGTCGGTGAAAACAGGCGTGAAGGGGGTGTAAAGATCGACGGGTACATCTACCCTCTCAGGGTTGCGTCTGACGTTGATGACGGCCTTGAAGAACCTAAACGCTTAGCTAATCACGTAATGGCGCGTGACGCGGGCGAAACGTGCCGTGCCCCAACTCCGGAAAATGTACGTTACGCGGACATTTTCTTCCGTAAAATTCAACGAGATACCTCCTTCGACATTAGAGACGCCCTCGGGAGACCAAACTGATCTCCGGCATGTGAAATTACAAGGATATTACGCTCCATAATGGAGGCGTCGTTTATTGTCGTAACAAACCTATGGAACTATGACAGCTCTACGACACTTGTGCCAACATAGTTTTGTCACATAAATTTCGATTGTATCTGTATAGGGATTATCCGTAAAAAAATCAGAACACGAAAGAAAGAGAAAAAAATAAGAGAAAAAGAACATTCTTTTATGTGACGATATTTTTCTTTCATATATATATGTTTTTACAAAATGCAAATTTGCTCAACTTAGGAAATGTATAAAATATATTTCTATGAAGTCACGTATCGCATATAATTTTCGTTAAAATTTTGTTTATAAATTTGTTTGAATAATAAATATTTTTTGTACATATTAATAACAAAACGATGCACAAGTAATATAAGTAAAAGGGAATAAATAAATAAATTTATTAACAAAACAAAAGATATTTATGGTTACGTGTGTGTCTCTTTCAATTCATTCTTTCACACTCTCTTTTCAGTATTTAATTAAATTATTATCAGTATTTAATTAAACTTGATTTTTATATTATTATTTTATTTAGTTAATTCTCGCAAAGCATTAAAGCATTATTTAGCCAATAAATATCAATCAATTTACTTCATTTCAATCATAATAAGATATCATTTATTAAGGTAGTAATTAATTGGCTTAAATTAAAAGTTTCTTAACCCAATATCTCAATCTATAATATCATTTCTATTTACTTAAAATGCTAGTTTCACAAATAACATAAAGATCACATTATGTGGAGTGATACATATACATTGTAATTAATGTATTATGTAAAAGAACAAGTGAATAAATAATATATTTGAAATCTATTTTAATAATTATAGACCTTATTTTAATGCTAAGAAAATAAAATTAATTTAAAAAAAATTATATTATGCAAAATTTGATTGAAAATTATAACAAATACTTCCAGCAATATTAAATTTATTTATTTGTGCATTACGAAAAAAATGTTTATAATTATGAATTATATGATTTTTGGTAATTTATTTCACATTCCTAATAAATTAGAGCTCATTATTTAATTAGATTATTTTCAACGGAAATATATAATTTAATTCAAAAATTATATTTGTAGAAGACAAATATAAGAAAAGAGATACACAAAAAGATCTTAAAATCTTTCTTCGCGAAACTAGCTAACGAATGAAAACTACTAAAAGTATAAGATGTATACATATATCACATTCTCGTTTATGGCGCGCAAAGATATAATCGTTGACCAGCGCCGTACATTCGCCAAGTCGACGTTTTTCAGTGAGCCATTTCGATTCAGTGAGTCGTAAAAAGCTTTGCAACGTTAACAAAGATACGTACCTTATAAACATGTATATACCCGTGGGCTCCAGTGCCCTAGAGACCGCTTTCCAGCTGGCGATAACCGTAAATTTTTGCCTGGCCGTGAGCGGAAGTCGAGGATCCGTGGCGGCCGGCGGCGGCGGCGGCGGCGACGAGCCATCGTTTCCGGCTTGATTGCGCGATTTCGTGGCGGCCAGTTTGCTAAGTTCGCAGCCCATGTTGCGGCGGCGAATCCCGGGCGCGACCCCCCGAGTCGCGGAAAACACTAACCGAGGCGACTCACAACGGGGGATGATCACCACCTCGCACCACGAAAGATCGCGCGGCAGCACTCCGCGTTCGATTTCGGTGTCGCTTCCGCTCCCTGCCACTTCCGTCGAAATTCCCGCCGCATCGACGAGAATGAGAGATCGCACTGCACTATGAAAATGACGTATATATATATATATATATGTCAACGAGCTGAATTGGGAATACGACGACGAGGACTGAACTCTGATTTTTCACAAATTTCTCGTGATCGGCAGTAAAAGGACGCTTCGGATAAATAACGCGTTATTTTAATAATCTCCTTAAGTCTTCTCTGCGAGATCCTTACGCTGTCATATATTCCTAAACACAGTGCATGTGATTGAATTCAAGGAATTTTTGCAATCTGTCGTCAGCGGAGTCTGTCGTCCGTCTTTCTCGAACCGTCGACGCGATTGCTACGAACGAATGATACGGAGCAGCTTATTACACGCGCGAACACTTTGCGGCCGATACAATCGGCAGGATGCGATTCGCATTCATTTATTCCTCTGATGTGCCACACGCGATTTCGACGGAAGCACGTGCGTTTCAAAGTGACTCAGCCATTTCCAAGCTGTTCGCCCGCGAACGATCGTTCGCCATCGTTGACAGCGCGAAGACGAGCGAACTGAACTTCTCGTCTGGAAATTTCACCCCTTCCCGCAAATCTCATTAGCCGATGTACTCCCGGCGTGGGGATAAATTTATCGTTTCTTATAATTGAGAACATGCGATGATTTCACGTTAATCCATCTCCTCCTTCTATTCATCTCCGGTTCGAATGCGCCCCTCCTTGCGGTTATCCTTCACTTTAAGCTCTGCGTATCCTCGCTACTCCTTTTGGTCTCGCGAAGTTTTCCGCCCTGTGAGTTCATTTATCTAGCTTCCCCTCGCCCACTTTCCCTTCAACATCAATCTCATCTCTGCCAAATATCTTCCTTTTTCCTTTTCACCAAGATTTCTGCACTTTACCACTTCCGGTCTTAAATCTCCCACCATCGATTCCTGCACTTCGTTCCCACTTTAACACTCTATATGTTAGTTCGCGTTTTTTCTAATTGTCTCCGGGGATACCCGTAATTGTCTTCCTCTAGCAATTTCATCCAATTTTCTTCATCTACATCTCTCCTTTTTCTTTCCTGTATATTGTTCCTTTCTACAGCGTTGCTTTTTTGTTTCACTAGCATCCGTTTGTCATCAGTTTTTCCTTTATTTCTTGTTTCGTATTATCCGTATTATGAAGTTTTCATCTCACATTTTATTCCGTATTACCCTCCCCGTTAGCTCTTTATCTCTTTCTCTCTTCTCTTCCTCCGCTTCTCCTCTATTTTTCCCTTAAGACCCGTATATATTCAATTTCATATTCATTTAAACGTACAAATTATGTCTCTTTATTATTTTACCAGGTTCACTTTTCTCTCTTCAGAGAATCTTGTTAGGCTCGTTAACCGGTCGCAAATTCCGTCGCCTTCGTGTATCTGTCATTTTTACATCGTTCGTCCCACCGGTTAGTCGAGACGTTTCGTCAACGCGCGCAATTCACTTCACTTATTTCCACAAAGTTGGGCGAGTGCGCGAACACCTCCTTAAACATCTCGAGATTCCTCGATCTCCGGAACATTAAAACTGCAAACATACGGTCGAGATAGCATCTTTCATATTTATCGAGCGGAACGGCTGATCGATCTCATTTACGGCGAACACTAGCGCGACAGCGAGTGACAGATCGGGAGGAAATCGAACGCGCGCGAGACGATCTAGGATGTCGCTGGGTCGACACTCGATATATGAAGTGGCAAATGAAGCTCTCTTGGACCGTCGTTTTGTCGATACGAGCGATATACATGAAAATGATCTTGTATTTGAATGAAAGCACAACACGCACAAGATACGCATTTGCGCTTTCGGAGCTTTGCGGATTTGCCTCGGATGGCGTATCGATGTCGATATCCGATTTCGATGTATTTTGAATTTAGAAATGTTTCAAATTGAATGGTAGCATCCAAATTTTATTACGATAGACTTTTGAAAAAAAATGGCATAAACGTAAGAGATAGAAAGTTTACAGTTTCATTATTTTATTTGTTTTGCTTGTGAATTTTTGAGTACATTTGACAGAATAATTCCGAGCTTTCTTGAAGATATTATCGATGCGTAAGAAGAAAAATTGTAATTTAATAATTTTATTTACTGCTATTTATTAATTAAATAAAAATGATTCAAAGAAATACTAATTTTTTAGTATCAATGAAATGATATCTTTAATCAGTAAAAAAAGTTGCTGCGTGCTTTTACGGGAATTTTACTCGCAAAAATAACACTGAACATTTGCCATTTCATTTTTCAGCTGCATTTTCTCACGCGAATAGTCATCTTCGATATCAGTTCAGTCGCGAAGACTTGCGAAGTTTCGTCATCAATACAGATGACAATGTCGAACAGCGTGGCGCTTCAATTAGCGTAATGGCAATATCAAACTGGATCAGCTGCGGGGTAGCGGGGACAAAAGAGAAATCTTAGCCGACAAATCTCGTAGAGTTGGACGTGGTGCGTCTTCGAGTGGAAGGAACGAAAGGATCGAGAGTGGCGAGGCGAAATTCCAGTGACATTGATGGAGGGATCTACAGGGGGTGGCGGCCAAATTCATCTGCGTCATTGCCTTCCGTCATTCGACGTTGGATTCGGGAAGCGTGTCAAAGAAACGAACGATAGCGGGGATGTGTAATACAAAGCGAGAGAGCGACGATAAGTAGATGAAAGCGTCATAAGGTAGCCGAGCGTAACCGGCGAAAGGGGAGACTTCCCCGTATGCTGGTCCTGCCGGGGATGGTAACTTTACATTTGAGTTGTCTGTCCCCGTGGAATGCCGGACGTATCTCAACGTTGATAAGCATCACCGGTAAAGTTTAGTGGAAGCACGAAAGACGCGCGCGTTGGGTAACTTAAATGGCTTTCGCCGAAGTTTCCGATGCAAAAAGCGTAAATAGCATCTCGTTAAAGCGAAAGTCCATCGTGGGAACGATATGATGCCAGTAAACGTCAGTCCTTATTGCTCGAGTTTTGTACAACCGTACATCTAAAAGTACATCTAAGTACCAGCTAGCACATTTGTGCGTATTATATTAATTTAGCATAAATTTTATGAAAAAAATTTTTATTATTTATTATTTTTTATTATTTGCGACTGTGAGCATATAAATGTTGCATGCATAACTTTGTTTTTTTCATTAATGTAAAATAAAGAAAGGCATCGATGAATATCGTTTTATTTTTGCTTCTTTGATTATCGTGTCTATTTTTTTAAAATAAATATGTCTTTAGATATCGATAAATATATATATATATATATAGTCTAAAAATATTTCTTTATTCTACGACGAAATACTAGTTGACGTCAAATTTGATCTAATTTTGGCAATCTAGATAATCGCGATATTATGATATTATGAGAATTGATGTACGAAAACTGTGTCAATATGGGATAAACATTAGACAGTTATATTTGGCGATAAATGTGTGGGAAAAATATCGATTTTTGCACTTGTTGGAGAATTTCGAAACGATTGAATAAAACCGTGCAATTTATCCATTAACGATGTTAAATTATCGGTCCCTTGCGAGAGACGATAGAATGTAACGAAGAGAGCAACGCATTGGCATGATAAGCTGAGCGTTATCACCAGAGTTTGGAATCGGTGCATCATTGAGAGAATGAGACCCGGGGGAATTATAACGACAATTGAATCGTTGCAAATTCGAAATTGAACCAATCACGCAGCGACAATGTTCCCGTCGTCGATATTCCGCAGTGAATCTTTGGCGCATTTCGTGCAGAAAATCGGAAACCTTTAAATATTTTAGAAATTTCCATTTGTTTATACAAAATTATTATTCATCGAAATATGCAGATTAAATTTGATAAATTAAATATTTTGTTTTAAAGATTATGCGCGTGAGTTTCAGATAACAATACATATAAATATCCGCACTAGATTTTTCGCCTATTATATATGGACTCCTCGATAGGAAGAGAGAATCGATTTTTCTCTTATTATCTTATCAAACATCTTCTTTCTTTTCTAATCTAACGTTAGAGTTAAATAATAATAATAAATTTTTTATTGTTTGTTTGTATAAATGTAAGTTGTTTTGTAAAAATTTTTATAATTTTAATAAATTTCCAAGTTTTTAATAATTACCAACTTTTATAATTATTAATAATTTAAAATTTATCAATTCTTCACCTCTTGAAATAAAAATATTTCGAGTTAATCAAAGAATCCATAGATAAAAACGAGTGTAGGAAAAATGTGATACAAATTGCATATTCCATATTTCCCTTTTAGATAAATTAATGCGATTTATTAACAATGTAGTAACTCAACACCTGCACGCTTTTAAATCAAATTACGTGATTTACACGAACAGACCGCAACCATTTCCCTTTCGTGAAATAACATGATTGCTATCCAGTAAACATCCGACGTCAAATTACTTGCAATTACGTATCGGAAAAAGCGCCGTAATGTACGCCGATTTCGCAAATGCTGCATCGTTTGACTAACGCCAACGTGAGAAATAGCGGTCGATTCCATCCAGCCTTGAACGCATTTATACCAGGGAATCAAGAGAAGAACAAACAAACGCGCCGCTATTGGAAGATAAACAGCTTACGGGACGAAATCCACTTCGTCCGTTGCGAATAGCTGCGAATTCCCGTCACGCGTTCCAGCGATGCGACCGCGCCAGCACGTTGTCGCGATGTATCACTGAACTCGCGTCTCTATCAATTTCCGCTGCGAGACATTCCGTTATCTATATTCCGACATTTCCAACTTCCGTTCCGTCGAAGATCGGCGAGCGGAGCGGCGAGACGATCCGTTTGGATTGCACCGGAGAAGAAGGAACCGCGCGCGGATGGAGAGACGCGCGCCAACTCCCGCGGTATCTCGTTCCGAATCTGATCGCGAATTTATACGATCTCCGCCAACACGAGTCGGCGAACATCGAGCGGAGGATCTAGTGGTACTCCTTGTCACTCTTCCGCTCCACTCGCGTGATCGATTCGCGCGTGACACGTAGCACGGTTCGCGGTACCAAGAGAGATCCACGGCTCTCGAAATGTCTCTCGCCCTCGTCCTTCCTCGCTTCCCGTTTCCGTCGCTCGCGTCCTCCTCGATCGTCGCGTTCGATCGCCCGCCGCGGTACTTCCGCGCCGCGTCACGCGCGATACCTCTTCATCGTTGTCGCCGCGGTGGAAGTCCGCGTCGTCGCGCGGATAGAGATCGCGTTTCTCGCCGTGGTAGCGCGGCGCGAAGAGTCACCGGCGGCGCGCGCTTTTCTATCTTTAGAACGTCTCCCGGGGCTCCCCGGCCGGATACTTGGCGCGGTACTTCGCCGTCGGCCGTGTTGCCTACTGCCCAGGCGAGCCGAGACTGAGGCCTCCATAATAAGCGCTCCAGAGGATGACGCGCAGGCGCCCTCGTGTCCCGCGCGCTCCTCCACTTCCGTTCTCCTCTCCTCTCTTCTTCTCTCCTCTTTCTCTCGTCTCTCGCTCTCGATCTCTCCGCCCCCCTCCTCTCTCTCTCTCGTCTCTCTCTCTCTCTCTCTCTCTTCTTCCTTTCCTTCCGTTCCGTACGTAACTAACTTAACTACACTACCCTTACCCTTTACCCTTTCCGTTTCCGTCGTCGCGTGTCGTCGACGTGTCGTTCGTTCCGTTACCGTTTACGTTACCGTACCTAACCTAAGTATTAAGTGTGTGTGTGTGTGTGTGTGTGTGTGTGTGTGTGTGTGTGTGTGTGTGTCGTGTGTGTGTGTGTGTGTGTGTGTGTGTGTGTGTGTGTGTGTGTGTGTGTGTGTGTGGGTGGGTGTGTGAGAGAGGCTCACCTCTTCACCCTCAAAGGTAAACGGTGATCTTTCGCATTTTCAAATTAATGAATTGCTCATAACAATTAGAAGATTTCGTTTCCTTAAATATATATTTCTTTTAATAGATATTCAATAACAAATTTAATATTTGTAATTTTTTAAATCTATAAATTGTCAAAAGGAATAAGAATTTCGTACTGCGCTAATAATTCTTCAATTATTTTAAACAATATAATTTTAATAAATAAGTAAAACTTAAAGATATTAAAAATTTTTATTCTTTTGTACAATTTTATAACAACTACATATATATATAAATATTTTTCTGAACGCAGAAGAAATATTCTAAAGAGATTCTTGACGAAGAAGTTGAAATTTTATTAATTTGCGTATAGATTCATCCCTGCGGATTCTAGGGATCAAATATTAGAGATTATGGATTGAGTAGTCACGGTATTTAATCACCTGATCTCTTATATTTGCGGAATCGCAAACGTAGACCATTTTCGTGTGTACACACAATCTCGGACTCGCGAATTCATTAAACATAATTTGCAGGAATTTCGATCATGTGTCTAAATGTGTAACATTCATAGCGGTCACATGTATAAATGTTCATTCTATTTATACATTCACATGTATAAATGTGTAACATGAATTTTCATAGATGAAATATAATTCCGCGTGTAAAACGCACTGGCATAATCTTCCAAAAGAGTATGAATATTTTGCTACCCTTGTTTCAGA